TCTTTCTTTCTTTCTTTCTTTCTTTCTTTCTTTCTTTCTTTCTTTCTTTCTTTCTTTCTTTCTTTCTTTCTTTCTTTCTTTTTCTTTCTTTCTTTTTGAATGTTTTTATTTATCCAGAGAGAGGAAGGGAGGAGAGATAGAAACATCAATGGTGAGAGTCATTGATCAGCTGCCTCCTGCACGCCCCCTACTGGGGATCGAGCCCGAAACCCAGGCATGTGCCCTGACCAGTAATCGAACTTTGACCTCCTGGTTCATGAGTCGATGCTCAAGCCTGAGCCACGCTGGCTGGGCAGAAATGACATGTTTCTGAGTGGGATTCCTGAGTATGTTAGGGGGCCATTAATCAAGTTCAGTAAGGCAGAAAGGAGCCAATTTGGGGGAACATCTATTTGCACACGCACATGAGATGATGTTACATTTTGGGTAACAGTTGCCAGGATAGTCGAGTGGACGTTTCCAGTGGGAACTAGATGGGGATTAGGGACTGGAGAGAAAGCGTTATGAGTTTTTAACCCCTAGCTGGTGGTAAGGCTGCGGAGGGAGAAAAGAAGAGGCAAGATCGAAGGACTTAGCTAGGATGGGGCTCCTGGGGAGCACAAAGCTTAGAAAGCTACAGACCCAGAGGAAGCTGAAGAACACTGAGAAGTGACCAAAAGATAGGCGGGAACTCACAATGTGCAGTAATAGATGCTGGGGGAGAAATGAGTATCAAGAAGTATGTACTCTATCACAGAAAAAAAAAATTAGCGAGTAAAATAAGCATTAGAAAGTGCTGCTTAGATTTAGTACTTAGGAGATTTCTGGATCCAGCCAAGATAAAGAAGCCTCATTCCTCTCAGGTATTCTTCTTACAACTAAAATAACCCCAGACGTAACACGACAAACAAGCAAAGGAAAACACTTAACAGTGGAAAGAAGTGCAGTGTCTAGGAACCTCAGGAGGTGAGGAATGATGTGACGGTCATTTCCCTGAGTTTCCTTACTGTTGCTCACACACCCAGGACAGGACACTGCAGAAACCTCCAGGTTAGAACTGCCAACACCCCTACTCCCACCGCCCTGGGTCTCGGCTATAATAAAAAAATCTGGGATAAGATCATCTCTTAAATAAAAGATATTGTTTAAAAATAATTTGTGTTTCTTTTTACCTTTTAAAATGTGGCTACCAGAAAATTTTAAATTATATCTGTGGCTCATGTTTGTGGCTCACTTTATGTTCCAATGGGACGGTGCTGATGTGGCTGCCAGAACTAACTTCTAATTTGAGTTTGATTATTTACATTAGCCAGGATCAACAATCAAGTGTTGGAAAATGTCAGCATGTATTTAAAATAATGGTTGTCAGATGTCTAAGTAACCTCACAAAATTCAAGATTAACAGCAGTGTAACAAAATCCACTGAGAGGTATGTTTGCATATAAATGAATTCGAATATTGCATCTATAAGCTACATCTATAAACCTGGGTCCACAGGCCCAGAGCTTGGAAAAATAAATATGTCAGGCAACGAATTCAGGGAGTTGGTAAAGATTAAAATAAATGAAAACTGAAAATATGCCCAGTGCGTTGATATGATGTTTTCCCAGGCAACTGATAATGACAAACCTGCCTTCTGTTTGACAATATAAAATTTAAAAAATGGAGGCAAGAAACCTGATGTGGAGATAAAGGCAGTTTTGTAATATGAAATTCAATAAATTTAAGTCTTTGACACCAGTATTGTATATGTGGGTGCGTTCATAGCTGCTCATCCGTTTTGCCGTCCAAGTTATTAAACTCGGCCGAGAAGAGCTCTCACAAACTCAGAACAGCATTAGAATCCCCCATGTTCTGCCTCCAAATTTCCTTTTCCAGTCCTCTCTCTGAGCACATCGCACCCCGCATCCTTTCTCCAACCAGCCTGGACAATTTGCTGTTTCCCCAAGCATCCTATGTGGTTGTTCCTTAGCTGTTCCCTCACACAAGGTAACTTTTCTTCCATTTTCTGCCTAGCAAAATTGTATTCACCCTTTAATACCCAGCCCAAATACCAAATACCACACCCATTGAAGGCTTCCCTGTTTTTCAGTAACTATTCACAAATGTTTTTAAGAGCTGGCAATAGGCTGACCCTGTAAGAAGCTTGTAATCTAACAAGGCAAATGAGAAAGAAAATTACAAAGCACAGCAGAGATGGGTCCATTCTCCACTCTGCTATCATCTTGATTCTGACAAATGTGCACAGCTATGCGGACAAAGACGTGTGTGAATCTCATCTCTGCAACTTATTGTGTGCCTGTGGGGCAAGGGCTGAAGTTTTCTGGACATTGTTATCCTCAAATGAAAAATGGGGGTGATAATAATAGCTTCTACCCAGGATGGTTGCATCTGAAAAGGTTAATACACATGGAGTATGTGGAGTATGTAGAATAGTGTCTCCACATTATAAGCGACCAAAAATATCAGCTATTGCTATTATTAACAAAAAACTGGAAATTACCTAAATGACTATTCACATGGGCCAAAGTATATTAAATAATGAGGTGATATGGACCAACACACCATATCCCAAGATTTATTTTAAATTCATTCCCATTTGAGGTTCAGTGTGTGTGTGTGTGTGTGTGTGCATGTGTGTGTGTGAATAATAGAAAACTTCTAGAAGGATATTCAACTAGTTGTTAATAGGCACTGGCCCTGAGGAAGGGAATGACAGTTTAGTGGGAAAAGAAGACCAGTTTTTCATTTTATAACCTTTAATACAGTTTGAATTATATTACTATGTGCATACATTATTTTTCAAATTTGGGGGGAAGAAAAACATAATTACCTTGAGTCTCAGCAGGAAAGGACAGAGTGGGGACTAGAATCTTAATTTTCTAATCCCAACC